TGTGCCGGTTTCAGCGCCGCTGCGTAATGGTGTTTGTAGCACAATCCTCGGGACAAACGGTAGCCCCATGGCCGGGGGTCATCGGAGCAGCCCGGTGCAGAGTCAGGAACGTCGCCGGAGCGCGGGGACCTTGGCGCTCAGCGGAGAGGCTGGGAGCCTGCTTTGGTTGCACGAGTGGTGGGAGAGGGTCGTTGCGAGGGGGTTTGTGCCGGTAGGGGAAGCTGCTGTGTTTCTGGGGACACCTCCCGCGCGGAGGGAACGCTTGGGACTTCAGTACGGCGAGGTGTGCGTGGAGTTTCACCCCGAGCGCCAGCCTTCTGAAGGAAGAGCTCCCGCGGCAGGAGCTAGCCTGAGAGTTCCCGCAGAGGAAATCCAAGACCCACGTGAAGTTGCAGGACAGACATTTACAATGTTACCTGATATTTTGACAGATGCGTTTTTATTTTCATGTTTTAAATAGGCCTCAGAACCACTCATGGCCAGTCGCTAAGCAGCAGGGCTTTGAAAATTCCTCATGACTTTCCTTTTCCCTTTTTTTAAGATAACGGGTCTCTCGGATACTCGGTCAAACCCTCCTGAAATCTGGCCAGGCCGGAGTGTAACTCTTGCTCCTGCACCTTCACAGCCAGTTCCAGTGGGCTTTCTGTGTGCTGTCCAGCATCCCGTTCGTATGGAGCTGCGCTGTGGGGATGTGAGCTGGAGGCGGGGGCTCGTGGTAGAATGTGCGAGTGGGCCCTGACAGTTGGGATTCGGGAGTGAAAATACCAAATGGTTAACCTGGAGAAGTGAACCCGCCTTCCACGGGCTCCTGTGGTGCGTGTTGGGATGTAATGACCAAGAGAAACCAGCATATGGAGGAAGGGATGGGGATGGTTGTAAAAGGATGGATCATCCCCTTTGCTTCGTGTTGAAGGTTCGCGGTCAGCCGCATGCAGGCACTGGCACTGCGTACACGACATACAATTTACTCCTTTCTGTGAGCGTGTGACAATTGTAAATCTGTGAGTTCAAGGTTTCCTTGTTGTTAATCGTCACATTTAACGTGGCTCGCCGTGGAAACGGTGAGCAAACTGATAGGGAGCGGAGCTGCCTGGCGGGCTGCTCACCGAGGGTTTCTGTTTTCTCTAACCCTCGTCCCCTGCATGGCGCTTTGCGTTTGGTTTGTTGGGTTGCTGGATTATTGGGGCTTTACTTGAGATTATTTTGAGGTCTGTATACTTTATGCTATTTCTATCGTTACTGCTTTTAGAAAATACATAATCCCTTCTCTAAATGTTAATCTTAAAACCAAAAAAACCCCAAATCACCTTTAAATTGTCAAATTGGTTTAGGTTCCTGTCTGCCATCTGATAGCTTGCACCTGCATCTTTGGAGAGAGCAAAACGAGGAGCTATTGCCTAATCAGTGTTAATTTAACACTGTTAGTCTGGTTGATGCTTTGAGTGTTTTTCTAGTAGCTGAATAATGGCATCTGAAGCAGTCGCCAAGTTGAAGATTAGTGTCAGAGTATGGATTAGTGGCAGAGTATGGCTGCACGAAGCTGGCTCTTTTGGGCCTTCATGAAGCGAGGTGAGGGCTTAGGTAGCGCAGGTAGTGAATCTGGTTTGGGAATTGCACCCTTTAGACATTGTACCGGTATTGAAGGATTGCTGTAGGATGTGTAGGCCTGGGGAAGGAAATGTTTGGCACAGCAATACAGACCGTATCAGTGTGCGTATTTGAAACGTGCTTTTGGGATGTATCTTTCTGAACTCCTTTTCCTGGGGATGTTTTAATACTTTAAAACCACTTGGATACAGTAAGTGGGCAGTGACTTTCCTGGTGCTTGCCCCGCTGGTCTTGCAGGGTCGTGCTGGTGGTGGCTGCTGTGCTTAGGGAAGTTTAGGAAGCAGTAGCATCTGCTCAGCTGGCCTGGGATCGCATCTTTCTGTACGAAGAAGAAAGGTTATTTTTCCTAAGCAAAGCTCAAAGGAGCAGAAGAGTGGGAATACTGGGAGAGGTCTCTGATGGCTCTTGTGTAACAGTGATTGTCCAGCACGGGGCTTGGCACGCTTCAGCAGAATCAAGGTGGTTCTTACTCTCGACAGATGTGACGCAGACCCCTCAGCCTTAGCCAACTACGTTGTGGCGTTAGTCAAGAAAGACAAACCAGAGAAAGAGCTGAAAGCTTTCTGTGCTGATCAGCTGGATGTCTTTCTGCAGAAAGGTACTGTTCTCCCCACTACTTTATCTCTTTGGTGGTTTTCATGTCACTGGGGGGAGGAGGAAGGGTGAGGGACCGTTGTTGCCTTCAAAATACTTCTTGTGATCCGTGAAATGGGTATTTGTTACAGAGTGTGAAGGAATAAAGAACTTGTGATTAAAACTAAAATCTTAAGATGAAGTGGTGTAGCTTGGCCCTGTTCGTGGTGGATGGGAGGAAATCCTCTGAAATAGGAGCTAGCCGTTTCATTGTAAAGTTTGGTCGTGCTGCCAGGCATGTCTCTGACAGGTGTTTGGTGGCTCAAAAACCCAGTCCGTATTAACCTTCAGGCTTCTGGTGAGCTCTCATCATCTGGTTCCAGTTCAAAGTTTTAAATACTTGAAATTCTGACACTCACTGGGGAAGTTACTGTGCAGGTTTTTTGTGATCTGAAGTTAAACTGATGATTATTCTTCTGTGAATGATTTACTCTTATAAAAACTGCCATGAAGAGGCTGCTGGCTGTAGCTAATGGAATAACTGTGATGCTGCTGCTGCGAGGGATGATTTTTTTGTCAGGGACTTCTGTCGTACATCTACCAGTGCCCTTCAACCAACGTGTGACAACATTTTCTTGTGTTCTGTATCCTCAGAAACTTCGGGTTTTGTAGATAAACTTTTTGAAAGTTTGTACACAAAGAGTTACCTTCCTTCTCTTGAACCCACGAAGGTCGAAGCGAAGCCTGCAGGTCAGGAAAAAGAAGTCGTCAAGGAAGAGGTAACTTTATTTTTTCTCTCTACCTGCCTCTAATTTCCAGATTAGCCATCCCATGTGTTTGTGAGGCAAAACATAAAAGAAAAATCTGCGTTGTTGTGAGTAGTGATCTTTACAGTCTCTGAGGATCTCGGGAAAAGTGCAGGATGACTCTTCAGACAAGCACATCTAAAGTCCCTGTGCAGAGTTCCATGTGGTCTAGATTAACAGCGTTCGCAGGTCCCTGGCAGGACGAGCTGCCAGCGACGGGAAGGGTTTAAAGAGGGGGAAGAAGCAATAACATTCTGAAACATTTCCTTTTCCAGTTTTGTGTGTTCTGTGAAGCGTATAAATAATTGTCAATGTTTTCTGTCATACTTCAAATCTGTGAAATATCTTGGCCTCTGTGTGATAATGACTTTAAAAACTGAGGTCGCAGTCATGTGCCAACAGTTCTTTCTTTTCTCTTGTTTTTAAGTTTCATGGGCAGCAACCAGGTTTTTGAGAAAAGCAAAGTAATGTTTCCATAGTTGTCTAAATCTTGTATATTAATGACCAGGACATTATTTTATTTCCACATGGGTATGGCCGCGGCACGGCATGCGATTCCCGCAAGGAAGGATACCAAAGTAGCTCGTTTGTAGAATTGCTTACGTGAGCTAACGAGGTGCAGAGAGGATAGAGATCTTGGCTTTTGTCTTCCGTGAATCCAGTTTAAAACCAAGTTAGTTTTACCTGGGGGCATGCTCTCTGCAGAAAAACCTGGAAGGTCTGAAATGTAAAGCCCGGCCTCCTGTAGCCCGCGGTTGCTTGGGGTGCCCGGGAGCTGCGTGCACGTGCTGCTCGGACGCTGGCTTTGCGCGGGACGCTAAACGGAACTTAAACTCAGTCTGATTCTCCTTATTTAAACAAAAGAGAAAGTGATACTCATCCCGGATTTGTAGTTGTCTCTCAAACAGAATTTTCAAGAGTCAGTTGAAGAAGAGCGGGATAGCAGGAAGAAGAAGTATTCCAGCCCACAGAAAAGCCGTGGAGATTCCAGTGAACAGAGGTTGGTTTTGAGTGAAAATACTAATATATTCTTCTGTGTTTGCTGGCGACCTTTAACTGTGGGGTTTTACCTCAGCAATTTTTCAGGAAAGCAGTGATTTCCTCCCTGTGTTTCTCTGCCGGCAGTCGGTTACCACTGTGATGATCCGATGTGTGAGAACCCTTCACTAGAAGTTGGTCTCTCCCGAAACAAGGATAGTATTTTTAAATGTGAACACCAGGGATGTTGCCAGCTGTGTTCTTTCCTAGTTACATACGCCAAACACGATGCGGGGGGGGCTCTGGGGCTTGGGGCAGGTTGGTCACACAGTGCCAACATCACTTTTGAAACATGGTGTGTTGTGGTCACCTAGCTTCCACCTTTCCGGTTCTTCTCAGTCCCCCCTTGCTGGTTTGCAGGAACAAATGATTCAGATTAGAGGTTCTGTCTTTTCTGTGCAGTTTGGGAAATTCCGACTCGGGTGTTTTGCTGCCCAAACTGGATGGGAAGGGTGAGAGGGGCGTCTTCTGCAGGCTCGCTTGTTGGTTTGGTTTCTCTAGTCATAAACGTGGTGTACATGTGTCTCTTCTAGAACCAGAGAGAAAAAGAGAGATGACGGGAAGTGGAGGGACTATGACCGGTACTACGACAGGAGCGACTTGTACAGGGAGAAGTCCAGCTGGAGACACGGCAGGAGTAAAAGTCGGAGCAAAAGCAGAGGGTTAAGTCGAAGCCGCAGCCGGAGCCGGGGCAGAAGCAAAGACCGCAATGCAGGCCGGAAGTTCGGTAGGTAGCCGAGGTGCTGCTCTGGCAGCACATCTGCTGTCGGCGCTGTGGTGATCCCTGTGTGCTCTGTGGGCTAGCAGGCTGGAGGTGTCCTTGAGGAGCTGGAGCAAATTTTGAGAGCTTTGTGTTCCTGAAATTATTAATTAGCCGCTGTTCTTCAGAGCAGAACAATTAAAGGGATTGTTTTCTTCTTTGGTAACCTCTTAATTTATCCACAGGTGTATACCAGTGGGTGTCAGGAGCTGGTGTGTTTGTGCTGCGGATGTTGACAGAGCCATTGAGTTCTTCCTCCCCCAAAGCTCTATCTTTTTGTGAAACAGTGTTACCCTCTTTGTCACTTTGTTACTGTGTGTTTTTAGGGAAAGTTTCTTTGTAACTGAAGGTTGGTTCCGTGTGATCTGTTGTTCTTTTAGGGCTAATTCGGGTCTGTTGGAAAAATAAGAGGCAGAGATCACAACAGACTGCAAAGCGTGTTGAGGCAACGCTAGTTAGGGGTGGGGAGAGAGTTTGTTGTTTCAGGCTTTTTCCCCTCTTTCTGCTTTGAAGGGGGAGCTGTAATCCAGATTTGAATAAGGAGTAAATGTGAATTTTGCAAAGAAAGCGTTTAGACCTCTGAAGTTCAAACCCTGTGGCATTATATTTAGTTCTGTTCCATTGGTAAGATGCGGCTCCTTCAAGAACACTTTAGTGTGCAGGACACCGAGTGGCGAAGGAAATGCTTATACTGCTGCGTATTATCTTTTTGTCCAGGCTCTGACCAGAACGAAGCCGCAACACTTAACCTAACTTGTCTTTTTAAACAGAGCACCGAGAGAGATCAAAATTCAAGAGTGAAAGAAATGATGCCGAAGGCTCGTATAATCCAGTTGTTGTGTCTCCCAGTAAATCTACTGAACAGTATTCCTCTGCACAGTCTGTTCCCAGTGCGGTTACTGTAATCGCACCTGCGCACCACCTTGAAAACACAACGGAGAGCTGGTCGAATTACTACAACAATAACAGCAATCCCAGTTCATTTGGCAGAAACCCTCCTCCTAAACGAAGGTGTCGGGATTATGATGGTAAGCTGCTGCTCAGTTTTCTGTTTGGTGCCTTGTTTCAGTCATCGGTGCCCGCTGGCTTTTAGGTGTTCCCTGAATGTCGGCAGCAAGTCAGAATGCGGCAGCGTGTGGAGCGTGTCTTTGCATGTGTGAACGGTGGATCCGTGACTTGGATGGTACTGGGGAAACCGCTAGTCTTATGGAAGCAGTGAGAGGTGCTGGAGAAGAGCATATGGAGTTTGTTTGCAGTTCTGTGTGTGCTTGGCAGAGGTTGCAGCCCGGCAGTTCTGATGGATTGCCGTGCATGTGTTCAGTATGAAACGGGTGGGTCTGGCTTTTCCCACAGCTTTTGTGATGCACCCCTTCATGTTTGCATGCTTTTACGGAAGATTATTCTAATCTGAATTACTTTGAAACCTCGTCTGGTAATGTAATGTTGGCTCAGTGATTGCATGTTGTCTTTATTAAGAAATTCCTCCAAAGAACGAGATGCTACCAGTCGCTGACAACTGTTGTTTTTTACTGAAGGGGATTAAATGTCCTGTTTTGCAGAGCGAGGATTTTGTGTACTTGGGGATCTTTGCCAGTTTGATCATGGAAATGATCCTTTAGTAGTAGATGAAGTTTCCTTGCCAAGTATCATTCCTTTTCCTCCACCACCTCCGGGAATTCCTCCTCCTCCTGGAATGCTACTGCCCCCTTTGCCAGGTCCAGCTCGTACTATGAGGTTGCCTGTTCCACAGGCTCATCCACAGGCACCACCTCCTGTGGTGCTTCCTGTTCCAAGTAAGTCTGAGCATTGTTCCATGTCTGTCCCTGGGTTCAAGCGGTGGCTCTTGCTGACAGGTGCAGGTGTAGCCGCAGCAGCGAGGTCGATTTTTGCTGGCCACGTGCTGTGCAAAATATTGCCAAAGTAATTCCGAGCAGTCGGCTCGTGGCGTGTGCTGTTCCTCGCACTCCAAACTGATTGGGTGAAGGGGGGGGATATCTTGCAGGTTCTCGCTGGAAGTTGCATTACTAGCATTCTTTTTTCTTAGCACAGAAATGTTGAGATTTCATTTTCTGAAAGTTTAATCGATGTCTGTGCTTGTGCTGCCTTAGCTGTCACTCCAAAGCAATAGGTAACTGATGCACCTGAGATCTGCTTTAGCAGATCAACTGGGGTCTCTGAGATGTTTGCCTTTTTAGTTATCTTGCTGCATCTTATACGGCAGGTTCGTTGAGCCCTGTTTCAGTACTCTCTGTTCCAGAAACAATTTGGGCTGTGATGGTTGGATCAAATAGCAGCAACTCTGGGATGAGAACTCATTTTATATCGGGTTAACCCTAAACTTTGCACGAGCCTTTTAGTGGGTGGAATCCCTTTGCTATTGAGCTGGCAGCACGCTCTGACTGTCCTGGTGTCTTGCTGGGCAGTGTAGTGTAACTCGTCCTTGCTCAGGCCTGTGGTAAGTAGGAATGCATGTATGGGATGTGGTGCAAAGAAAACAAAATAGTGGGGTAAGTTCCTTGTCTGAGCACCTTCTGCCCTGTAGTTCTTGGCTTAGAACTGTAATCTAAATATTGCTGATATGATTTCTTGCTCTGAGCAGCCTTGATTCTCCGTGGCAGAGCTGAGGGAGGCACTGCTTTAGTTACTGTAAGCTCTAACGATGATAACCCTCCGGGGAAGAGAAGACACTTAGGAAAGAGACAAGGTGTTGGAATCAGAGCAACTTGACTGAGCAGGGCTCCTCAATCTCATTTTACTGTAGCGGGCTTGTAAATATTTGCAGCATTGGCCTTGCCCGAGGCAGGGCATAAACAACTTGCACTGAATTGTTTGCACGTTTTGTCTGTGGAGTTGTAAGCCTGTGATCTGTTCTGTGGTGTCATTGTAGGACCACCTTTAACACAGTCAAGTCTGATAAATAATCGTGACCAGCCTGGGACAAGTGCAGTGCCCAGTCTTGCACCCGTAGGAGCAAGACTACCTCCTCCTTTACCCCAGAACCTCCTGTACACAGTATCGGAACGTAAGCAAATACCTTTTTTTAAAATCTGCTTGAGACAGAAATTTTAAAATTCCTCTGTTGATGTGTGATTCGCAGTTATTATGTGTTGTCCTCCGGTGCCTGCAAATCTAGAAGGAGTCTGATGCTTGTGGTGAAACAGCAGCAGGGCTCTGTCGCTGTCTGGGGAAAGACCGTGCATGGGGAGCTTCATTGGGGTATCGTACGCTCAGAGCAATAAGGCTGCTGCCTAAGGAAGGGATCCCTCCTTCTTCAAGCTGTTTCGTGGAATAAGTAGGCGAAAGCTGGGTCTGCAAACCTGTAATTACTGTTTAACTTGGTCTTTATTCTGTTTAACTTGGTCTTTATTCCAGTCCAGTTTGGGCTTCTGCAGGTAGGGGATGTGTTTTCCCAGCTGTGTATCACACTAGTCTCTACAGCCTTCGTATACGTTAGTACTTTCCTTCTGTCGTTTTTCCAGAATCAACTTAGTTCTAGCTTTCTGACTTACAAAAAAGGATGGCTTTCAATGGAGACATCCGTCTTCTGAACGGAGCTCAGGTTTCCAAAGCATGGGCTGTATGAGGGGAAACAGAAAAATACCTGGAGGGTCCTAGATGGCACAAATCAAACCTGACAAAGCCTGTTCCGTTGGTAATGAAAGGGGTGACGGCACTTCGCGTGTTACACGAGCAAAATTAGATCATTTAATCTCAGTGCTTTATAAAATTCCCATCTGGGGTTTTTCATAATATTATGAATTTTGTCCAAAGGAGAGCTCTAGTTCATGATCTGTGACGCTGCCTTTGCGACTTCATGCTTTTCAGAACCTCAGTCACTCAGATACGCTGTTAGGTAGTCTGTTCGCTTGTCTCCAGTGGCCGTCGGGCATTTGGATGTCACATCTGGTTCTTTCAGGTTCAGAACCTCTTCTGACCGGTGAGTCTGTCTTGGCTCGGGGGGCACTGCTGTCTTCAGCTGCCCTGCCTCTGTTCTCCGGGGCATCCGTGAGATGCTCCTGCCCTGTTCTGGGGCTGTCTGTAGCGACTGCTGCTTGCCCTCTTGCAGTCAGTCATGTGCCAGGTCGCAGAGGCAGAGCTTGCGGTAATCAGAGTTCTCGGTGGAGCCTGACACTAACCTGTCCGACATCTGTACTGACGTTTTGGGGCATTTCTCCTAAGCTGCAGACTCTTCGTTGTTGCTGTGGAATAAGGAGCTGCAATTTAGTGCTTCAAGTCGGTCAAGCCCCTCTCATACAGACATTTGTTTCTGTTCCAGCGTGTGCTGCATTTCTGGAGGCTTTTCGTAGGCTTCGTTCGTTCTACCTCTTGTACCCAGTCTCCTTTTTGTGGCTGGAAAAACGCATCGTCCTTGGTTTGGACCTTGGGCTGGAGGAACAATTATGAGTCATTTCTGTCATCTTGAGTTCCCGTGGTTGCCCCTTGTAATTACAATAATCATTAGTACCTTACTGGAGCTAGGCAGCTGAGCTCCCTCTTACGTAAGCTAGGAGAATTCCATAGGTAAGTATTGGTCGAACGACCTGATTGCTTAACTTCCTCTGATCGGGATTGCTTCAGTGCGCTCTTCCCTCAAATCCTTTTCCAGCAGACCGTTGGGCAGCAAAGTCTGCAAATCTCTTTGCGTCTGAGGCCCCTCAGAGTACATGCTCCATCTAAACCCTCTGTGGCTCCCCTTGAAGCGGTGTCAGGCGGGACCACCTCGTCCCTTTCGGGCAGCTCATCAGCACTGCTCGGTGACCATGACCTGTGCGCTTTGACGCCGTAACGGTCGGATTAAAAGCCAAAAGAGAATATGCCCAAATTGACTTGGGCATGAAGTTCAGTGGAGGGTTTCAGGTGGCTACACACGTTGGCTGTACGACCTCTTTTCTCTTCATCCAAAACAACTTCTGGTTCTTGGACGTCCATGCATTTCCTTAAAGGAAAATTAACCTTGAGTCTTAAACGAAAAAATTTTTCAAATGAGTTTCTCTCCTTTTTTTATAGATACATATGAGCCAGATGGCTATAACCCCGAAGCTCCTAGTATTACCAGTGCTGGTAGATCTCAGTATCGACAGTTCTTTACAAGAGCACAAACGCAGCGTCCAAATCTAATTGGCCTAACATCTGGGGAGATGGATACAAATCCAAGAGGTAGGAAGGGTTTCTAGTCATTGCTGTTGCTGTTTTTGTCCAAGACCGTCAACACTCATTTTCTCACTTTCAGGCTGAAAGCAGTAGACTTTCTCCCTGATCTAGTATTTCAGAGCGATTCTCAGACGTCTCTACCTTTTGTAAAATGCTGGTGTGACCATGTAAAGTCAAAGCAGCCTCTTTGATGAAGTGACCCCTTGCTTGGGAAGGTTACACGGGTGTTGGCTGGGTTGCTCTTCCTCTTCAGCCTGCGAAGGCGCTTTTCGGGTGCTGGGTGCTTCTGAAATGCAAGCGGTGCAGAGCGGTGGCTCCAGGAGCACAGTCTGAAGGCTCCTTTTGATCTGGCCAGGGTACGCTTGGGACCTGGGCCGCAGAGGTGGCGATCTGCGGCACTCACCTCGGCTGTGGTGAGGGTAGTGAGGAGGGAGCTGCCCTGGTGTGGTTGGCACTCGATGGGCTGGCTCTGTCAGCCGCGCTCTCTAAACGAGCATTGCGTGCTCCTAGGGTAGGAATCCCAGCCTGCCTTTACGTGACTCGGAATCGCTGACGGGACGGTTGTGGTCTCCTAGCGGTGACGTGTACAAAATTTCTTTTGAGGGAGAGAACAAGTCAGGGCTCTTCAACTTTCTTTTTCCTTCCTGAAAAAAAAAAAGGATGTTGAATTTCAGTGTTTACTGCTACACTTCAGTGATCCTTATTCAGGGGATAAGGAAGGTGGTTTTTTGCATATTTCCTTCCAGCGACTCATCCTATAAAGCATGTGGTTAAATACTATTGCAGAAATCGCTGTTGCTGTTTTCATCCTAGTGAACATCACAGAGACAGGGTTGGGGCTTTATTGCTGGCCCGCAGGGATGTTGAATTTCAGTGTTTACTGCTACACTTCAGTGATCCTTATTCAGGGGATAAGGAAGGTGGTTTTTTGCATATTTCCTTCCAGCGACTCATCCTATAAAGCATGTGGTTAAATACTATTGCAGAAATCGCTGTTGCTGTTTTCATCCTAGTGAACATCACAGAGACAGGGTTGGGGCTTTATTGCTGGCCCGCAGATCTCTCCAAGAGCCCATTCCAGTGGTAAGGCTGGGTGAGTGTTCGGCAGGGGTGCTTCAGGCCGCCTGCGTTAGTGTCTTTGCCACGTGTGGGAAGGGTTTGCCTTAAAATCATTCTCCGAAGTTCGAGTAAAACTGCCTGGAAATGCCCAGTCTTTGTTCTCACCAGTGTATTCAGCAGAGCTCTGGCGTGTGTAAAAGCTGCAGGAACTTGACTTGTAACTCAGGCTGCTTCTTCCTAAGAGTTGGGTGTTTGGCATACACAGGACACTGGTAGCAATAGCATATCCTTGAAAAGCTTGTAAATAAGTTCTTGGCACCTGTGGCCTAGTGCTTTAGCCTTGTGCTTGTGGAAATTGCATCAACCTTCAAACCTCTTGTTTCCCAGGGCATGATTTCATGCCGCGGTTGTGCTCAAGTACCAGTTGGTTGCTGAGAACTGGGTGGAGGGATGGCAGGGAGGTAGCAGTGGGAGGGAGGGGTGCTTGGTGGCTTTTCCACTGTCAGGATTAAATACAGGGAAAGGTGGTGGTTTCTTCAGGCGGTGCCACATCACAGAGCTCTAACCTGGGTGCTGGGAACTTAGCCTTGGTTCTTTCCCGTCTTTTTTTGCCTGGATTTGGGGCTTTGTGTCTGTTTTTCTGCAGAATCAGAATTTTCAGTACCTGAAAGGTGGAGTTCTAGCTCTGTTTCTTCAAGCCAATACTAATCTTAAAGGTCAAAATCTCATCCCTGATGGCTGAACTAAAGGTTTGTTTTCCTAAACCGTTTTGTGAGGCCAGCAAGCGATCTCTGAAGTAACTTCATAAACCGAACTGACCCAATGGAGAAAGTTATCCTAATTTTTATGGGTTTAAACTCCATCCTATTCTGCAGTGTAAGTGAAAGCTTTTCGCATGTCTCTGTTGCTGTGTGATGAATAACACGGGCCTCTTTCCTTTCCTCCAGCTGCCAATATTATCATCCAGACTGAACCTCCCATGCCCGTTACAAACAATAGCAGCAACATAACTAGAGTTGTCCTTGAACCAGACAGCAGGAAGAGATCTCCAAGTGGTATGGAATGTCCGCCGCCGAAGAAACCGTGGCTGGGAAAGTAAGGCTTCATTGCTCGCTGACTGACTGGAACATGCCTGCCGCTCTCGGTGCTGTGAGCGTCGCTCTCGCTGGGCCCTGCTGTCAGAGCTGTCTGGGCCACAAAATCCGTGTCCGAGTCATATGGAGATGGTGTGTGCGGTGGTGGGAGGAGCTCTTCCTTGTTGATGTCTGGAGTGTGTACTCTTTATGGGAAAAGCAAACGTGTGTTAACGTTTTGCTGCCTTACCGAGGTGTATGTCTGCCTGTCTGAATTGCTGTCTCGTGCTCGTTTCCTCTAGGCAAGCAAATAACAACCAGAGTAAACCAGGATTTTTGAAAAAGAATCAGTACACTAATACAAAATTAGAAGTTCGGAAAATCCCGCCAGAACTGAACAATATTACGCAGCTCAACGAGCATTTCAGCAAGTTTGGAACCATTGTCAACATTCAGGTAAAGAACACCGTTCTGTCCTGTGCCTGCGGGGGTGTTTTGTCCGCCCTGATGCTGCCGGGAACACTGCAGCCGACCTGCGTTCCCGGAGCAGCCTTCGCAGGCATCCAGGAACCCTTCTCTTGGAGCGCTCGCTGTTGTTACCTTCGTGCTGTAAAGTGTGGTGGCTTCTGTCTTCATGAGGTCTTACTGAATTTTGAAGCTTTGCAGGTTTCACTGTATCTAAACAAACTCAGGCAACTTGTGTATCATTTTTGAGAGAGATCTAACGATTCCTGCGTCGCACGCCTGTCCTGAGGTATTTTGTAGTCAGGATTTTGACAGCGATGCTGCAGGAGAATCTTTATATGCATCGGTTTGTTACCACTCTGCATCCTAGGGCTGGCTGCAGGTCAGTGTTCCTTGCACCATAAGAAGTGCAAAAGCACTACGTAAGCAAAGCGCTGGTAGTTAACCTGGTTAAAATAGCATTTCATTTGCATGTACTTTTCTAGACAGAACAGTTGCCTCTGAAGTCAGAGGCGTCAATGAAAGTGATCCCTGGGGAGCCTCTCTGTTCCTTGAGTCGCTGACTCTGCCGTAGCCTCCAAGGTGCTGTGGTGCTTTCTGCACCCCATCAGGAAACACGGCGTTGAAGCATGCCGTCTCAGTCCTTGCGCTAGAGAGTTCGAGATCGGCTTTCGCTCCCGTGATTGATTTTTAGAGAAAAATGGTCTTGTTCAAGGCTGGTAGCTAATGCTGCTTTGAGAACATGGTGAGCCTTTGCCTTGTTTGCCCTCGGGCAGCAGTCATCTTCAGGAGGTTAGAGCCAAGAGCTTTCGCGTCGGTGCGAGCGTCTCTCCAGTCCTGCCCAGCGACGGCTGGCAGTGCTCCGAGCTCTTGGGTGAAAGAGCCCGAGCACACGCAATATTTGCCAAAGGGTGCTCGGCTTGAATTATGTGGAATGTTCCTGTCCATTGAGCTGTTGATGTCATCGGATATCCCACTCGTTACTGCAGGTTATTTGTAGGTTGGTTTGCTATGGTTGAGGAGTTTTCTTCTGTGATAACTAACGTGTTCTAATGACCTTCTGATTCAGGTTGCTTTCCAAAACGATCCTGAAGCTGCTCTGATTCAGTACTTAACTAACGACGAGGCTAGGAAGGCGATTTCCAGCACCGAGGCCGTTCTGAACAATCGGTTCATAAGGGTACTGTGGCACAGAGACGGTGAACAGCAGCCCCCGCTGCTGCAGCAGCCGCAGCAGCAGTCACCTGCGCAGTCTCTTCACCACCAGCTTCACCTTCAGCAGCAAGGCCTGAGCGCGACCCCGGCTGTAACGCCGCACAGCGGGCTGTCAAAGGTACTGAGCCGCCGTAACCTGGGGGTTGAGCACTGCAGGCTGTCGGCAGTCCTGAGTGACTCCCTGGCAAGAGAGCAGAGCGTACAATCTTTCTGACCTCTCTTGGTATGCAGGTGATGAACAAACCGTTGGCGTCTGGTGCCTACGTCCTGAATAAAGTCCCGGTGAAACGGCGCCTTGGAGCCACAGGTGGAAGCCAGCCTGACTTAAGCCAGCCTGGGGCTGGGGGGGAGGATTCGCAGGTACGTTTGAGGGCTGACCATCTTTGTGCTTCCAGCGGGGCTTTGGCCTGTTAGTGGAGAAGGAACTAGTGAACAGAACTTGCAGACTGCTCCCAGGTGCTTCTGTTTCTTTTCACTCCTGTTCCGTGCAACCCTGCTCTCTCGCTTCTTCCCAGTTTTGTTACCTGCTTACATAAAATAGTGCAAATGACTTCAGAAACGATCAGTAGTTGAAGTAGCGTAAAGTGTTTTTGGCAGTGCTTCGTAGGAAAGAAGCTTGCCAGCCTGTGTGTGATGCCAGCTTTTTGTTGGCAAAGCTGATTTGCTTTCACAGTGACTTTTGAGCCTGTGCTGTGCCACAGCAGGAGTGCTGGAAGCTTACAGAACACTCCTGCATGGAGTTCGAGTGGTACGTTGTGATTCACGCTGATACCACATGCAGCACGTGTCCCTGACCCCAGAGAAGTCCCCCATGTAAGGAATCATAGAATCACAGAATG